CCACCCCCTCTGCCAATAGTCTAGAAAGGGCGGTGGTTAATTGTTTTATCGCGTGGACCACGTGGACCAAAAAACTTCCATACTTTTTTTCCCCGTGCCCCACACCTTGTCCTGAGAAATAATAAATTTTTCTTCCTTATCCAAACCCATTCTTGTCATAAATCAATCTTAGAGCCGGAAGTCTATTCTTACAAATACTACCAAAAGAGGGAAGTTGGATAGGAAAGTGAGAAGGTCCCAATCGTTATGTCACGGACATTCCAGCTACTTAATTACCGTGTGCCAGTAGGAAGACCTATTCTAAAGTATGATATTTTTCATGGCATCCAAGTTGAAGCATTTTTTTTTTTCCCAGCAAACACAGAAGACAAGTTGCAAAGTAAGTAGTTCGCAAAGTGCTATTAGCATGCATAATGTAATTAAAACGGGCTTTTTATATTATGTGATAATCGGGCAAATAAATTTCAACATGTGACATATATCTAATATATAAGTAAATTGATAATAAATAAACACCCTTTATATTTATAAATAAATATAATATTGTGTAATTTAAATTATTTTGAATTGTACAACTTTAATAATTAAATAAAAGTAAATTTATTATATTAAAAGCTCTCTCCCCCATTTAATATTTTTGTTTATAGTTTGATACAATATAAACAGTAAAATAGAGAATATTTATATTTAACCTAAATATTTTTATTAAAAAAATTATTGTATGGTTCAAATTGCATAATATAGACAATTTAATGAGGAGATGTGCTCTCATACCCTTAATGTTGAGAGTTTTTTTATTTTATAACCTAATATAATTTAAATTACAAAATAAAAACCTTTTTTATTACTATATTTCTTTAATATAAAATTTTGTCACTTACTAGTTTTTTTTTTGAACATTGTCACTTACTAGTTTAAGTGTGGGCGATACAAGAGTTAGAGTGAGATTTGACCCGCAAACCCATTTGCTATACCAGTCCACAAGGCCTCATCCAATGGGCCTGCAACTTGCTAGACGTAACACCAGGGGTTTTGAACCTGGACATGATCGTGACTTAAACAGGAAGGCGTGAGGTGAGTGATGACGACGACTTAACCGAGTATTGTTTGTTTTTGCAATTGTCTGATTCTAGTTTCAGAAAGGTTCCCTGATTTTGTATGACTTGGTCAAGCTTTTGACATTTTCTTTTATTATTATTATTATTATTATTATAATACAATACTTGTTTAAGGTTTGAAAATGATTTGAATTAACTTGATAATACTTTCTTAATTAAATTCTTAAAAGAAGTCTTAAGTGTTTAAAAACTCAAGACTTTAAATTAAAGAATTAAAATTTAAAATTTTAAGACAAGTGAGGGGAGACTATAAGAAAAAAATTATTATTTCTTATTGTATTTAAATTGTATTTATAGAATTAAAATTATATAAAATTGTAAAATAAAAATTATTGAATAAAAAAAAGCCTTGATATATCAAGATCCACCCTTATTTAATGATAAACATTATATAATTTAAGGGTTAATGCCAATTGTCATCCCTTTACTATAAAAAATAGTTCAATTTAAACCTTTTACTTTCAAGTCACCTCATGTCCTCCCTCTACTATGAATTAACTAAACATGTCCACCCTCTACCATTGGAAGATGTATTGATGTCGTCCCTCCATCTAAGTTCTGTCCAATTTTGGGTTAATAGACAGTTTGTTGACCGTTAATATTAACTTGTCCAAACATCCAATCCCCTTTTTTTTTTGTTTGACACTTGGGCTTTGTGGGTCCATCTAGTGCCAGATTAGATCCTCTTTGGCTTCTTTTCTCAACAAGAAGTTGCTAGACTTCTCGCCTCCTCTTCTTCACACAGAGCCTGTAGGCAAGAATTCATCTATTTTTTTTAGTATTTTGGCTCTAAAAACTTCCCAATTTTTTATATATTTATTACATTTGTCTAAGGCATGCTTGCATATCAAAATACACGAAGAAAAGGAAGCCTTTATAGGTATACATTAAAAAATTGAGCTTTTTTGTGTTTATGATTAATTATTCTAATGATGAATTTGTGGAGATTAGTTAAATAATTTAAGTTTAGGTTTTCAATTATGATTAGTTGACTCAAACATCAATGTTAGCCATTACTTTACTAAATTGCAATATATGGGTTATGAATTCCATTGTTGTTATCTGATAACTTGTGTTGATTTTTGTAAGTATTTTCTATAATGGGAATTATGGAATTGGGTATGTACTTGAACATTGGGGGTAAATTTGTTAGAGACCCGTATTTGTGGTATGTTGGAGGTAGCTTTCATACTTTGTGGTTTGATTATGGCAACGTAGATGTTGCTGGGTTTAGATCTAAACTACATGGTTTAAATGCTAACATTGATGGAATAAATGATTTTGTTTGGTATAAGCACCCAAGGAAGAAACTAGAATCTGGACTCGTGTTAATAATTTGTGATGAATAAATTGAAGACATATTCCAATTACTATTTCAGCATGGTTATGTTGATGTGTACATTGAACATGAGGCAGAAATATTGAATCAATTATGTGAAGGTGGGCTCCACAATAGTAGTAAGGCATCTTTAGTAAGTGAGGTGGTGGGGGCCGTTGAGGTTATGGTAGGGTCTGTAAATTTGCATAGATCTGAGCCTTTTTAAAATGATGAAGATGTCTTTGGTCCTCTTACTCAAGATGACTAAATATCAAATGAAGAGAGCAACAAAAATGCAACAGGATCAAGTTGTTTGGTGGAGGAAGGAATCAGTGGTGATGACTTCATAGATGTCCCTTGGTTAATTGATAACGAAGATGAAGAATGGTAAGAGGCAAAGAAGTAGAATAAAAAAAGTGGTGACCAATTTAAAGGAGAAGAAACAACATTGTTGTTATTTGATCGAACACAAAGCATTGTTGAAGAAGGAGAAAGTGATTCTATTAATTCAGTTGATAATGTTAGCTTTATGACTAGTAGTGATGATAGTGACGCTGAGTAGGGTAGAAGAAAGAGGCCACAACACATAGTATTTGATGACTCTTTCCTTATTCCAGAATTGAAATTGGTATGATATTTATAAGTGCAAAACAATTTAAGAATGTTGTTCTTGCACTATTTATTTACATAAGAAGAGAAACTATTTTGACAAAAAAATGATAGAAGGAGAGTTCGGGCTGTATATGTAGATAAAAGGTGCGATTGGGCTCTTTTATTATCATTAGATGGTAGAATAAAGAGTTGAATGATAAAAACATATAAGGACGAGCATACTTGTGGTTATAGTTGGAGAAATAAGAAGGTTAAAGCTAGGACTATTGGTAGGCATTTTATTAAAACTAGAGGTTATTTTGCATTAACTCTATCTCAAACTAATATCCAAGAGAGTATGTAAGAAGAATTGCATCCTAAGATCACTATTAGTTAAGCTAGGAAGGCAAAGCGGTTTCAAGGTGAATGAAAGAAGGAATATAGTACGTTATTTAATTATAGAAGGGAAATAGTAAAGAGAAATCCCACCAGCACGGTTGAGATTTGTGCAAAGAGGCCTACACCTGATTCGAACTCTGTTTTCATAAGGTTTTATGTATGTTTTGCTGCTTTGAGGGAAATATTTTTTATCTAGGTGCAAACCTGTTATTAGTTTTGATGGAGCTTTCCATAAAGGTCTAACTAAGGGACAATAACTGTCAATAGTAGCTAGATATCCAAATAACCAAATGTATCCAGTAGCATTGATATTACTTACTACTCATTAATCTGGACACAGAAGTAAAAAAATCTTCTTTACCCCTAAGAAACACAAAAAAGTAAATGCTTCTGTTGAATCCACTGTCTAAGCCCCTGTTCTTGCCCTTGCTTCAAATTTGAGTGAGTTATTCAATATTGAAAGTGTCCCATTCTAAGAGGCAATGAGGAACTCTTAACCCCAAGTGCAACATGTAAATGAGTCATCTGAACAACAACAAGAATCTAGTAAACAACAGATTGTTACATATCAACAATTAGAGGTAATTAAATTAGTTTATTATATCACAATTTTAGTCCCTTGAAACTTCTCCATATGAAAAGGATCTTTCATGTTGGACCATACATGTTGTAGGCACAAAGATGTGCAAGTTGTAGGACAATGGAGCAAGCTAGATTGGAAGAAATGGAATTGGCAAATTGGGGTGCTTGATTCAAGTTATGGGTTTTGGAGATGATGGAAACAATTGTCATTGAATTAACTTAGGGTGCATTTTGACTGTTAGAACCATATCCAAGTAGTTTTTAACCAAACCATATTTTTTGGAAATTTGTGGACTTTAATGACATATATCAAGGCAAAAAACTTGGCAAGTTATTATTAGGTTGATTATGTATGTATGTAATGACATGACCTTCATAATAAAGGCAAGCAGAACTTAGTCCTTTTTATCAATTTATCTTAACCAATTATTTACCAGCAAATTATCAAGGCAAAAACTTGGTAAGTTATTTTTGGATTGATTATGTATGTATGTATGTAATGGCAAGACCTTGATAATAAAGGCAAGCAAAACTTACTCCCTTTTCTTAGTTTATCTCAACCAATTATTTATAAACAAATTCTCAAGGCAAGAACTTGGCATTTTATTTTTAGATTGATTATGTATGTATGTAATAGTATGACCTTCATAATAAAGGCAGGTAGAACCTACTTCCTTTTATTAGTTTATCTCTACCAATTATTTACCTGCAAATTTAGACACATTGTAATTGCACGTCAAACAAGAATGGTGTAACACTCCACATACCTTAATGAATAATTTAAAAATTAGAGCCCTTTATTTTATAGTTCTAAGGATTAAAGTGAGTGGATTTAAAGTTTAAGGGTTTTAAGTAGAACTTATGAGGAGTTGAAGGGCCTTAATTCAATTATTCCAATTTTTCTTACCACATGGCATTATACCAACCAAGCATTTTTCTTTTTTGGTTGGACTTAGATAAGCCTCTAGAAGGCTCCCGAAAGCCCACCATTTTTCTACACCTTCCTCTTCCAATCGTCCCCTACATCTTTCTTTCTTCTTCCTCCAACCAAGATTGAGGTGCAAGGAGCACTCTCCACCTGGAATCCTTTTCAATTTCTATTGTCTTCTTCAATAAGGCACTTGATTTTCAAGTAAGTGTAAGTTTAGCTATAGATTTGGGTTAGAGTTTTGGGGGAAATTTATGGAATTTGTTATAACATACACAAAAATTAGTTTAAGTGGTGGAATATGACTATAAATCTTTTGTTTAAGAAATATTTTAGTATTAGAATTTTTGTTTAGTAAAATTTGGAATTTTGGGCACTGGTGGAGTGTAGAGCCAGAAGTGTATTTTGGTTGATGTTGGAATTCTTTGTGAATTTTTATTAGCTAATTACTTACTAAAAATGTTCATATATTACTATTCGCGCACTAATTATTGTTCATGCACTATACTTTAATTTCTCTCAATATGAAGTTTTATGGAATATGTGAGTTGTGTATGTGGATATTAGTATGAACTTGAATTGTCCACGCCACTGATTAATAAGAACATTAAATGAAATAATATTCTAATATTATTTTGAACATGTTCTAAATTTGTTTGACATGTGTATTTGTTTGTAGTTATGGAGTAAGTGGACTTAAGCTCAAAGCTTGGGGTATTTAGTGGACCCTTCAGGGTATCTAGTGGACCTCTGCACAGTAGGGTTAGTACTATGATTAGCTCTGGTACAGCATTGCTAGCACACATCAGTGAACTCCATAGCATTGTGTATTTTTAGTTTTATGCATTGTGCTTATAACATCGTATTTGTGAGCATATAATTTTATTATATGAATTTGATTTAAATATCATTGATTATTTCTTAATATGTATGATTTTGATTTGAAATATTAAGTTATTGTTTAAATACTGAAAATTATAATATTATGTGGTTTGGTTCCATTGTATCTCATGCTCTTTGTGTGTATAGGTCTAGGGGTCTTAGGACCCAAGTTTATAACTTAAACTTAATACTTACTGGGCTTTTAGCTCAAAAAATCCCCCCCATTTCAGATCCATAGATTGGAGTAGCAGTCACCAACTGGAGAGTTTCGGTAAAAGTCTCGTATGCTCATTGTACGTAGAAGATAGGACCTCATGCTTTTGATATGGAGGCGGATCAATGTGTTACCAAAACGACAATTCGGCTTTTGATATTTTGAAAAGCTTATGAGAAGAATTTGCCTCATATGATTTTGTGTAAATTACTTTTATGTATATAATATTTAAATTAATTAAATGAGCTTAACCCAGCTTATTTTATAACTCTAAATATTTTGACATTTCCTTAAAACATTTTTTTGTTAAAGTAGTTTTTCTTCATAAGTGTTTGATTTTTTTTTTTTTTGTAAACTTTTTAAATTAATTTAAAAGCAAGTTTTCTTTTAAGGAAACATTTTATAATAGAAGTGCTTTTATTTCCGCTATAATCTTTTACTATAATTCTATTTTCTAGACTCCTTTGGGACTAAGGGTACCTAAGGGAGGTGTGTTATAAATGGAATCCCAAAAAAGATTTGTCATTTCATTTTCCTTTTCCACAGCAAAACCACATCAACATTTTCAGAGAATGTACATAACAAAAAAGATCAGTAGAAATATTTACAATAAGAAAAACCAATACGCAATACAACAAATACATAATGCCACACAATTCCTAACGTTCAAGCAACTACAATTTACTTCCACAGCCTTTCCCTCAAAAGTAGCAACCTTATTTTCCAGTTCAAAATATGAATTCTTCAACACACAGAGCTCCCTGTGTAAATCCAAATTCTTTTTTTTTTTTACCTCAAGAGCCTCATTCATCAATGTTTTCTCTTTCTCCTTCTCCCAACATCATGTTAACCATGCCTTAGCTTGAGAGTCAAACTTATCATCATACCATAAAAAGAAATCATGCCACGATTTTCCTTGTTTTGGATGTTGTTCATACCATTAAATAGTTTTAGCATCATCTTTTTGAAAAAATCAAATGATCACCACAATCATCCTAGAATCAGTCAAGTTCCCCATAATAAGAAACGTAAATTATAGATGAAATTTGAGTTATAGGATATTTGGAGCAACCCCAAAACCTCTGCCCATAATTGAAATGAGTTAATGACGTTTTCCTTACCGGTGGAAGATTATAGAAGTAGAATCCAACATGTTGTGAATTTAGGCATGGTTGTGGCGTTAAAGAAGAATTGAAACCTTGAGTATCTCTACACGACATTGCCCACATCCAACCTTCTTGAATATGCTTGCTGATTTTGGTGATTTTGGTGGATTGTTGACTAAAATGCCTATTGATTTTGGTGATTTTGGTTGATTGTTGATGGGGTTGATAGATTCGTTCTAGGGTTTCTCAAAAAAGGGCAAATGAGTTCAAAAAGAAGAAAAAAATTTATGGATTTTGATGCTTACATACTGCTAACTACTAATTGTTGATGGGGCTAATAGATTCGTTCTAGGGTTTCTCAGAAAAGGGCAACTAACTTTGAAGAGAAGAAAGAAATTTAGGGATTTCAATACTTCCATGGTGCCAGCTACTGATTGTTGATGGGGTTGATGGATTCATTCTATGGTTTCTTAGAAAAGGGTGAATGGGATCGAAGAGAAGGAAAAAAATTTGGTGATTTTGATGCTTGCACAATACTGGCTAAGATTTTAA